ATGGAAATACGTAAGATGGCCGAGGAAGTAAACTCAACAAGTTCAATGTACGAGAGGATTCGGCCGGACCCACTTGCCTAAACAATCAGTATTTGATGTCCCATTCAAGCGTTGTGGAATTAATCAAAAGCATTACAAAAATGGGAAAAAGGTGAATGCCAAGCAATTGGAATTTGGAAGTGGGCTCAAAATGATAAGGAAGAAATAAGGGTCCACTTGGTTTACAATCAATTCCGGAAGTATTCATCAATTTAAAAGAGAGGCCCAACAAAATATAATTTCAAAAAATCTTAAAATCTTTTGGTGTTCGAAGTTGTTTCTTTCTTTTTTTTCAGAACAATTTTATAAAACTATTTTTAAATCAATTCTGCGAAAAAATCTATTTGAATAATTAATTTAAAAAATACAAAATAATAAGTAATTGTTAGATGAAAAATTACAAGTTATAATTTAGCTGTAGTTATACCTCATCAATTTTTTTTTTTTGGATGAGTCAAAAGCAAACTGCGCTTTTAAGCGTTTGCATCAGTATGTAAAAGGCTCATAAGAAAATCAGGGGGTGAACTGAAGTAAACAAATCCTTCGGCAGCTTCATATAACATGATTATGCAAAAGAACACATGATAGAAACACATAGAAGCGTTCATAAAGTTATCAATCTAGGACCAGACATAAATACAGAAGGAAAACTTTTAATCCAATTTTACTGCTACAAAAAAAAAAAAGACAACTACCAATGGAGTTAGTGACTGAATTCAATTCCGTTGCTAATTTTGTCACAAATACCATCATTCAAATTAGCGACAAAATAATTTTCAATCCAAAATTCTTAGTGACCCTAACAAAATTCTTAGTGATTGAATCTTTTCATCGCAAGATGAAAATTAGCAATGGAATTTTTCGTAACTAATGTTCATGGCCAAATTGCTTGCCAGCGGGAATGCATGGCAAATAGTGGATGAGTGGAGAAGAAAGCATTTCCTTGATTTTCTAAAACAAAAAATAAGAAATGTAAAAATAAAAAAATAAAAAAATTATTTTTTTTGTTAGTTTTCAAAACATATTACTTTTTTCTGTTTTTAAAGAACTAAATAAAAATAAATTACTGACCAAGTTCTTTTTTTTGTTTTGTTTTTAGAAAGACAAAATTGATTTTAAAGTAAGAAAAAACAAACGAGGCCGTATATTTTTTTAAGATCTCACAATGATTCTTCCAATTTAAAATAAGAGGAACATAAAAGGAATGTGACTCTACAAAATGAATTCAATGAATATCTATAAAAAGTTTATTATGTATGTGTGTAAATATCTATGATTTGAATTATTTTAGTTTGATTTATACGTCTCAATTTTTTCTTTTAATTAAAATTTTATGGTTTTATTTTAAAGGGAATAAGACCAACATAATAATTGTTTGTAATGATTTATTTATAAAATAATTATTTAAATTTAGAAATACGGAAAACAAATTTTAATTCACATCATTCAAATAAAATCCAAATTTAATTTAATCTTCCTGTATTTATTGAAATGTATATTTCAGCGTCATGTTGCTCTTTTGATTAGATTTAAGCTCCCACATAATTTGAATTTTGTTTTTTGGGACCTGAATTTGATGTTTCAATATTATATTATGATAATAGTTGAATTATTGAGAAATAGGGTTTATAGAAGCGCATTCAATGGGCTTCATTTGAAAATGACAAATATGACATAACAGATAAAGAACACACAAGTTGCGACTTCTTATTAAAATCCCAAGAGCCAAGAATAAGAAAATTTGGGAACTTGCAGAAGACTAGAGGATGTGGAGGAGCTGATTAATATTGCAGTGAAGCCCACGACGTATTCAACTAGAAAAGAAGTTTGGATCACACTTTAAAATAATCCAAAAATATAGAAACTAATGAGAGAAGGATAATATTATTGGTTAGCTTCTCAATTAATGGTGTTTAAGAAAACTCTAATTGTCCTAGTATAATGAGCCATGGCAACCTAAACATGAAATCCCATATTGAAGTCAGTTGTCTTAACACAACAAAATGTCTTTGAAATGGTCTCCCCTGACTCTTGGACATAATGGCGTAGGGATGACATTGTATTTATATATAAGTTTTTTTAATAATATTTAATATAAATTTTGATAGTATTAAATGTTAGAGAAATTAAATATAATTCATATTTAATGTTTTCATACACATATACATTAGTTACAACTATGGATCAAAGTATTTCAAAATGTTTTTATTTATATTATCTACTACCTCCGGTCCTTAATAAAAGAGCTAGTTAACTAATTTGGGTAATTAAAAAAACTAGTTAAGTTAGTTATTTGTAATAAATAGGTGTTGTCTTTTCTAAAAATACCTTTATTAATTAAGTATATTGGCTAGAACTATCATTATTTCAAGGACTATCTTGAAAAAAAATAAATAAATATGAGAAACAAAGTAGATTGGGGTCTTATATTTAGGACCAAAATAAAAGTCAAACATGCTTTTATATTAAGAACCGAAAGTAGTAGCATTTAATTCTGAATTAGCTTTAATATCTGATATCAAATGATTTTGCAGTACAAGTTATACTGCAAAATTGTTTGGGACATGAATTATATTCCAACCATGTGTGTAATTACACTAAATTGAAGGGAATTAAGCCCATTGTAATATATTAACCAAGAAAAATAAGAACTGGAAACATTCAACTCACCCATTTATATTTAACTAAAATTTACCTTTAATTTATGAGCTAATATAATCAGCCTATTTATTATTAATTAATTACACTATATTAAAAGAGAATTAATCTCACGAGGAGAAATTTTTGCCTGAACCTCGACTGCCATGTCATTTGTGGTCTCACCAATAATAAATTAACAACTTAGCTGACTCTACTCCTGATTGGCTAATGAGTCACCTGCTCCTATCTAATTCAAATTTTATTTTATTTTAAATAAATAAACCTCTTAATTTGAGTGAAAAAAACTTATCACCAAGTTCAATTAAGAAATTGAAGGCATTGAAGAAGCCATAGCAATTGGAAAGAAAAGAAGAATTTTAAGATAGAAGCCCTAGTAGATAGGCTGTATTTATGATGTATCCGATGGTGCCATGCATGTGGCGCTAAGAGGATAGGAGAGAATTTTGGGACGTAAGAAAAGAGCACCAAAGCAAAAGATCAAAGAGAGAAATTGATGAAAGAAAGGGCAGGAGAAGAAGATGAAGATATGAAAGGCACCGTAGGGGAGAGATAGGCATTTATGTCTTTTTTTGACCAAATTTACAAATTTTAGTTAAGTGCAAGAGAACCTAAGTAGGATTTTGGAAATTGGATGCACCTTTTTTGTTTTTGTTAATTTTAAGGTTTTTTCTAGGATTTACCCTAAAAGATACCTACAAGCCAAACAATTATTGTTTGATATCAAGAATAATCTAGGAACAAAAAATAAGACTAGACACTAAACTATTTGAGGAAGTAGTTCATGGATCAGGGGGTCAGACCGGGTTAACTTGAGATCAAACCAATCATACTGAAATGCTATAATTTAATTGAAAATAACAAAATACAACAGCATTAATAATCACTAATAACAAAATACAAGAATAGTTTGATTGTAATAATAACAAAGTACAATAATAATGAGAATTTTGATCTTTACAATTCCTCATCAGCTAAACTTAATAATCATTGATACCAAAATCATCATTAAAATTCATTCAAATCTATAGTAACTGAGATAAATTAGGAGCTGAATGAGGAAAAATAGGACCAATAGCAACATAATCATCCAAACTAGTTCATCATCGGTTCATGCCTATTTGACTGGATTGCTGCCGATTCAATTTTTGATCGATTCAATACTCAAATTAGACTAAACCATTGGCTGATTCATCGGTTTTCTAGTTAAACTGGTCAGTTTAGTCTGGTTTTTTTTAATTTTAACCTTGAGAGTAACCCAAAACAATTTTGAATAATTAATAATTACTAAAAAATCAACTAATATATCTATCATGATAGGAGCTTCTAAATCACTGAGGTGGTAGAAAAAATTATTAAAATGAATCTAAGCTTTTTATGAGACGTTGTTATTCATTCCATTTGAGTAGAACATGAGTAACAATCCACCATCCATTAATGCTATTATTAATGGACTTAATCAATGAAAGTTTTAATGATGAAATTCTTGAAATTCCTTAAAAATTCACAACTTAGAGAAGTAGAGAATTAATATGAAAGATAAAATAAGTACAACTTCAATTGACATGTGCAATATATTGTGTGAAGCACAATCCTAAATTATATGTAGAGGAGTTGACTACCTAAATAAGACTAGAAAGTAAATGATGGGCATCTTGTATCATCATTTTCTTATGGAACAATAACTTTTACTCAATGTATGAGAAGTCATCACCCTTCTTGATATGCCATGCCATTAAAAACTAGATGTTGCCAACATAATGACATCTTATTAGGTAGGTTTCACACTGCAACTTTACCTCTTCTTTTCTAAATGAGAGGTATTGTCACACCTTATGTTTACACACTTTAACGCATTACGCGAAAGCATTCAGAACCACATTCGTTGGCCTTAAGGATAGAAAATCACGTTTTATAGTTCTGCCTGTACGGACAGAACACCCTGCACATTCCAGATTTCGGGGCCAACTTTGAAAAATCATAACTAATTCTATAAAAATCAAAACGGAGTGATTCTAATTTTCACTTAAAGCTCTTTCAATCTTCAACAAGGGAAAAATAACTTTCAGGGCTCAAACCATGCCAATTAGTACAGTTTATTCGTTAAATATTACTGTTCAAGTGGTCAAAACAGTGCTTTCCAGAAATCCTGTCTTGACTTTGAACAGCCATATCTCTTAGCATAAACATCCATTTTTCGTGATTTACCACTTGTTTTAAAGCTTAGGATGTGTCCTGTCTGGTCACCAAATTTCATGGCTAAATTCATTCATTTGATCTGCCTCATCACTGGTACCAATTCGTGACTCATTTAGGGACATTCTATCCCTTCAACTTAATTCAATCTTTACAAACAATTTATTTCTCCACCTCTTGTCATGCTATAATTCCACATAATATCTCCATACATAACCTCATACCGTTTTACATATCATAAACATTTAATATCATCATTCCACATACATGGCATATCAAACATAAATTGATAAACTATGTTACATAACTTAACATGTTATAAGACCATAACATGTTCTTGACTTCTTCCATCAATCTTGCATTCCCCATCCTTGACTTTTCCTCCATGCCCTTTATACCTATTAGGGGTTGTTAGGGGAGGGTGAAATTCGAGAGAATCTCAGTAGCAAACACTACCCATAAGCATGCAAGACATAATGCAAATGCATGACATGTTATCATAACATCATCATAGGAATGCCATGGAAAGTAAGCTAAAGCATTTCATGATTTCATAACATATTGCCAAGGCATAACACAGCATAAACTTGCAAACATAACTTTGCAAACATTTCATCATAGCTTAGTCACATCATGGCAACATAATAACATCATGCAAGCATACATATCAAGCACACAAAATAGGTAAGTTCACTACCTTGCACCTAGCTTCCCTCTTGCTCTTCCATTGCTTCCCTTGTTGTCCCAACCTCTTGGGTTTTCGGTCACATTGGCAAAACATCCTCTTGGATGTTCCAAGGTCCTAAACACATCAAAATGTCATGCAAAACATTCATTAGAATCAAGACACCAACCTATTCCTTACTTGGTTCTTTCTTGAACATACTTTAACTCTAACTTTTGGGATTTATTTCCAATCATCCTAAAATTAATTCCACATGCTATTCCCACATAATTTTGCATGTAGAATCCATTTCCAAGTTCAAAACAATCAAAATCCAACTCCTTCCCCCTTGTTCTAGTTTGGCCGAAACATAGGTGCCTTAGGTCCAAAATTTCCATTTTCAATTCTAATGCTTCCAAACATGTTTTCTACATATATTCTTACACAAAATCATCATTTAAACTCATTGGAAGCATCAAAATCATCAAATTCTAGACCCAATATGAAGAACCAGTCATGGCAGAAACATACACCAATGAAAAGGGGAAGTTGGATTTCTTGGAAAATCAACATCAAACCACTCGATTCTCGTTGTTTCCAAGCCTTTAAACAAGTTTCTAACATCAATATCATCTTCTCCTTACTTAATCAATTTCGTGCAGCACCTCCCCATAGGGTTTAACCATCCAAAAATCCAATCAAACCAACACCCAAGCTCAAAAATACCAAGGGAGGTAGAAACTAGATCAAAATCCATGAACATACCTTGATTTGAAGCTTGGATGGCCTTAGGATCATGAGTTCTTCCTCTTCTCCTTCTTCCTCTCTCCATTTCGGTTTTCCCTCTCCTCTCTCTCATGGTGGCCGAAAATATCATAAGGGAGGGAGAGAAGATTTTTATAAAAAGTCTTGACAAATCCTAGCCATTGATCTTATTTTGCAAGATTAGATCTTGGCCCTTGATTTTCAAATTAATCCTAGCCCTTGATCTTGGCTTCTTCATCAAGAAATCTTACTAAATATCGTAGGCTTATGTCATGCCTAATCATCTTGCTTATGTCATCATGGTTAATTAACTTAACCATGGTTAACTTTCTTAATTACCTTGATTAAGCTTCTTAATTACCTTACTTAAAATCCTTTCTTTAATCCTAATATGTCCTTAATCTTTTTACACATTTCCACACATATCTTCATGCCCCTATGGCAATATGATAGGAGGAAAATCATACAAAATTCGTGCATAAATTCATCCAAAAATATTCCTCCACCTATCTTACCAGTTTACATTGTAATCGGTACTTTCTCGGGTCCTGACTTACCCGATACTTCTGGGACATGGTTTAGCACATTTTTCATCTTCAAAATACATTCTCATACTCTTCTAATAACATTCATAGGGGAATCATACTTCTTTCTCATTTCCCCAAAATATTAATAATTAATATTCAATCGGAGTTGATTTTGCCGAATTCTTTTCTATCGGCTCGTAACTCCGTGGATCTATCTCTGAGTATCATCCTTGCCTTTTTAGGCCGAGAATTTCCTCTAATTTTTCTCGGGTCCAAAGTCAAACCGTAGACAGGAAATTTGACTTTCCCCGGATAGGGTATAAATGAGCTTTAAATTCAATTAAAGCTAACCTCGTTACTTTCTGGGGACGGAATTAATTTTACAATCTGTGTAAATTCCTCACCTACCTTTCCCCAGATTTGCCCTGCTTATTTGAGGCCGTCTCATACCCCAAATAATTCAATTTGAGTTACTATCTCAAATTGCTCGAAAACCCTAAAATGACTTCAGGGTATTTTTATCATTCCTAGCCTTATGCCAGCTCCGAGAACCTATTCCCATTTTCTTGAAATTTTTCTGGAACATTCAGGCCCTTCTATTAACTTTAGATATTGGTCGACCAGAACTTTCATTATTTACAATTAGGTCCCTGTAACTTTCCTTATTTACAATTAGGTCCCTGGGACTTTCTTTATTTGCAATTAGGTGCCTGTGTGGCCTAGGGATCTTTTCTTTGCAAATTGGTTCCTCCTTAGACCTAACCTTCAGAACCATATTTTAGGGGTTTCTGGCTCGACCTCTGGCCCTTATTCGTTTCCAGCTTCCCATTCTTTAGTCCCTAGCTACTGTGATCTTACATATTTGCCCTTGGAAATTCTTTTTTTCCTTCCCCAGGGATCTCTGAGACTCTCGTCACATCAGCTTAATGGCTTTTCTTCCTCGACTTCTTCTTATACATGTGAGCCAAAAATTTGGATGTTACAGGTATGGATGACATGTACCAAGAAACTCATATTACAGAAGATATTTTGCAACTTAATCTCTTAATCTACGAAGGAATAGAGTGATAACATATATTGCAACTGTAGTAGTGTAAAATAATTAAGTGGATGTTGGCTATTGAATGACATACTATTAAGTAGGTTTCATGAATGAACACTGCTTCCACTCTTATAGCTAACAATAGTGTGGATTAAATGAAAACTTATACTAATGAAGACGCATATTAAGCTTTAGTCATTAGCATTGACTTTGTTGAGAGAAAAAATATGTTATAAACTTTCATTTATTGCTTAGAATCGTGAGATTCTAAGTGGGATTACTCTTACATGTTACAAAGGGGAGTGATTATGTTAAGGTGTTGCTTCTAGTATGGAGGTAGTTGATATACTATGGCACCAAGAGCCCTCTCAATCTTAGGAAGATAGTGAAATTTTCAAGTGGAGCATGAGATTGGATGCATGTTAGGTTTGATTGCTTTATTATTTATAAAAATTTTATAACACCCAATTCACCCTTTTCTTGGATGTTCAACTATACTGGAAAAAAAACTATTATGGTTATAAAAAGAATGTTTGAAAACTAAATAGCCAACCATGACAGATGAAACAACTTCCCTTAAACCTCCTTTAGTACACATTTGGAAGCATTATATTTCAAACGATTCACAACACAAGCTTGTAGATTGAAAATTTAAAATTTGTTCTCGGGTTACTATTTATTGATGAATTCCAGATTTTCAATCCAATTTTAAAAATTAATAACTAATTATAGAAAAATCATATCGAGGTGATCTAAGTATCTATTTAAAGCACTTTTAATTTTCTATAGGAAAAAATATAAATCTAGACTTAACCCTTGTAAATTCATACAGTTAATTCATGGAAGTTTATTATTTATTTGGTAAAAACTATACTTTCCAGTTTCTCTGTCCTAATTTAGAGCAATCATAACTTTTAGCGTACACAATCATTTTAAGTGATCTACTACTTGTTTTAAAGCTCAGGATGTATACTTTAAACATACTAAATTTTATGCGTAGATTCTATTATTTGCCTTACTTCTACTATATCACAAATTCGTGGCTCACTTAGGGATAATCTAGCTATATTAATAATTCATAAATATTCATTTATTTTCATGCAATCATTCTGCATTACATAATTAATTTTCACACATCATGATATTTAATCTTACATGTCACCATCATTATTTAACATCACATAATGTTGAGGGGCATGTTCATATGTACATTAACATAAAGATTACATTAAATATATAGCACAATTATCACTTTCTTCTCTTCTTTCTTTGTTCTTCTTCTTCGTGCATTTTCTTGCTTCCTCACTAACACCTATGAGGGTTGATTAAGGGAGGATGAGATTCAGAAGAATCTTAGTAGCAAACATTACTCAATATGTATGCAAGACAAATGCTAAGTGGATAATATGCTTGGTCTCATGCTTTCAGACTTATAAAATAGCATGCTTTAATGCTCAATGCTTCATTTACACATGGCTATGAAACATACAAGAAACAAAGAAAGATTCAATCTTTCATATTCTAAATCATCATCAAGCAACATCAATACTCAGGCATACATATCAAACCTAAAATAAGGGCAAGTTCACTACCTTGTATCTTTATGCCTTTCTTCTTGCTTTCTTTTACCCCCTTTGCCCCCAACCATGAAGATTATTTGTTCAACCATTCTCATTCATCTTTCTTGATGCCACATGGCCCTAATCACATTAACATATTAATAACTAGTCCATTAAGGCCATATAAATCATTAATAACTCTTACTTTCAAACTTGACTCCTCTGTAACTTAAATTTTTCTTTTCTTATTCTTGACTTCTAAAATCATTCTCTTGACTATTTACCACTCAATTTATGAGGAATCTAAATATGAGCTTGAATTTAACAAAATCTAACTCCTATCCTTTGAATCTCGCTTGCCGAGAGGTTAGGGTTTGGAAACCAAAATCAAACTATGCAGCTTGCATCTCCTGCATAGTCTGTTGTTGTTCCTCTAACCTATTCGTTATGGTTTGAATAGGGTTAGTAGGAGGTCTAGCAGATGCTTCCCCTGCACAGGCTCCACGTCTTGTTCTTGTCATTTTACTTTTTCTTCTAACTACAAAAGGAATAGTGACATTATTGATATGCAAAAGATACTTTATACATTAACATAACTATTTACAATAGTTTAGCATAGTTAGCATAACAGCCATAGTCAACCAGTCACAACTACATAACATATACAATTGTCTAAGTCAAGGTACAAAAGAAAAAGGAAAAGTGGAGGCAACAAAGATCTCCAGGTCATCCAGCAACTGGTCAAAAGTACAGAGATTTAGACTGTCACAAATCCTTTAGACCTCAATATGTTATATATGGGTCCTCGGTAGTGAGTCTATCAATGCTTGCCCCCATAAGGTCTTATTTGTGTTCAGGGGGTCCTCCTCAACTACCTTGTTATACAGTAGTCTGACATAGTAGAAGTAGTCCAGATAGATAGAGGCATACTGGTTCTGCAACCTGTCAATATGTCTTCCTAGATCTATCAGCTCCTGGAAGATATCATCATAACTCTTAAACTCCTTCTTAACTATTAGTGGCGTTTTCTTAATAGGTAGATCCTTTGTCTTGATGTTATTGGGGTTTGCTTTGTCTCTGGTCTGGCTGTGACCCTACTTGGATTTGCCTCATCAAGATTAGGTTTAGGTCCTACTGTACTTTGAGTATCATCTTATAGCTCTCCTTCTCTGATCTTGTTGGAGGCTACACTAGACTTTGCCTTGTCCTTAGGCCTGTCATAGTATCCAGGAGGAGTTG